AACACGGAATTGCTTCCATTTCACGCCTGTCTTCTGTGTGGTCGTGGTATTACACCGGGCGTGCCGGCTTATTCGTGCTAAGATGTTAAAGTTTTATGTATTTTTTTAGTTTTTATGTACTCCCTAGTGTAGGGCTTTTTATAAAAAAAGCATTATTCATATTTTTTATATATTTAATAGCTGTGATTGCTGACATCTTTACATAAAGAAGTGAACACACTGTTCACGCTTCATTATAATAGTATAGAAATACCTACCGCAGCGCACGTAGCTCCTGGCTTCTTCGGACAGGTGAGGTTGGCGTACGGCTCGACGAGATTAGGGCACAGACATTTGCCGTGCGATTTAACAAAGCCGTCGGGACAGAGACAGCTGAAAGAGTTAGCCGGCCCGCCCAGGCACAGCGCGTCGCAGCTCGTATTCTTGTACGAACACGCGTTACTGCCGTGTTGGATGAAGTGTGCGAACACCTTTAAACCCATCAGACCCGAGAAGGAACCGTTAATAGTTATAACGTTTTGACCGTTGTCTTTATCGGCTATAAATATCGACTTGGCTTTCCAATCATCCCAGTACATCTTATCCTTTAACACGGCGACCGCGAATGGATGTGATACTTTCTCGTCGTTTACTAAGATTTTCTTAAAATACTGTCCATTCAGATCGGCACTGGCTATATAATCTTCCATCGCATCCACCCAGTATATTCTCTCTGACATTTGATCTATAGTTATGCCATTAGGCCATTGCACGATCGGTTTTTCGAACAGTCTCACAATATGCGATCCATCGAGATTAGATCGAGAGACTGAAGGGTTGTTCCTATCCCAGTCTGTCCAGAACAGATAGCCAGCTTTAGGATGCACAACAATACCCCGCGGTTTAGATAACACATCTGGACCTAAAATCGTAACTCTCATTCTCCCCTCGCTAGAAAGATCCGTTCGTACAGCTTCGATTTTCTTTCTCATGCCGTCAACAAAGAATAAAACGTTAGATATCCAGTCGAGGGCCATTCCTTCAATACTGGCGAGATCTGTATCGACAACGACTTCCTGAACGAATCCGGTCTCGAAACACTGTCGACTGATCTTATCTACTTCAATATCGGCCCAGTAGATACAATTATTTTTCATATCAAATTCAATAGCAACAATGTTCTGTTGGTCCTTGATTGGGAAAATGGTAGTATTATCTGATAAATCAATTCGAGCAATTTTATCCCTTAAGGCGACTAATAGGAATTCCGTTGGCTCGTCGAGCGGGCAGGGGATCTCATCGGGGTTGTAAGGTAAATATCCAGAAGTTGTGCAAACATCGCCGTCAATCTTTCTGTAGCCTTTCGTACGTAGATAATATTCGCCCGGTCGACAACCCGGTGGAATCGAATACGGATCGTATTTCGAGGTCTTATTATGTTCGCATACGTTACGCGACAGAACGAATCCGAAGTCGCATTCGAAATCTCTTCTACCGCATTCGCACACTTCTTTCCTGATGGGGCCGTCGTAGTCGATACCGTTGTAACAATTTGTGTGAGCGAGCCGACGCTGGAATACGTCTCTAGTACCCAATACACAGGAAGCCGCAGTATTCGGTGGTGAGGGAGACCAATCTTTGTAATCGTCCGCCGTACAATTCCGTGGGAAAGCTTTCTGAAGATCTATAGTTATGATTATCCACTGATGTTGTTCATTTGCCGAACCGAACATTGTAAAAACTGTTGTATTTTCTCCGGGTTCGGTCATGAGACCGTAAATCCTAAGATCGTTGGCGTTAAATCTACAAAAAAAAAGAATTATAGACTTACAGTCAAAGTATTTAATAAAAAAGTAAGATTATTTTTACTTACTGATAAGAATTCCATTCAATGCCCTCATTTGTAGAATACAGGATTTCTCTGGTTTCACTCAACATTTTGAAGTATTTAACAGCGACCAGCACACCGCCGTGATCTCCGTAATTAAAGAAGTAAAAGTCCTTGAGGATTCTCTTCCAGGTGAGGCCAGCGTCGCGGCTCAGATAAACCCCTGGGATACCTTTCAAGGACCGACCCACAACACCAGTCGCCATTATGATCCCCGGAGCAGATTTAGAACTCATTATACTTGCGGACCTGTAAACAATTGACATCTAATCTAGACTCTAACACATATCAGTTAAATACATTAAAATATAAAATAACCAGAGGTACTAATTACTAATATATCTACTTTCAACTTAAATAACGTACAAAGATACAAAAAATTAAATGTGAAAAACTAAAACGATGGTAGCGTGATTTTCAAACAAATTTCGAATTAAAAAAAAGCATGAATACATCCCCCACAAAGATTTAATCACAAAAAAATAATAAAACATATATGAAACCGAAATCAAGCTCCGTGCAATACAAAATCAACTGTCATCTAAATTGTTATTCAATACACATTCTACGCTACAATAATATTTTACCTCATAGCATTGCTTATTACATTTCCAGGCGGGCTGTAAATAAAGTAACCAATTAGGTAAAACAGGTATTGTAACTGATTTTTGATATAGTCGATGACGTTTATTTCCTATCCATTCCTTGGAATTCACGCTCATAATGCCTTTAGGTTGATTTCTTCATAGTAGATACAATTTGTAATTCTATCTAGAAACGAACGTAATTCTTTGACTGTATACTAACTTTATGTCAACTTCGATTATGACTTTCTTTTTGACCGACTTCCCAAAAGAAGGAGGTACTCAATTCGTCTGTATGTTTTTTTTTATATAACGTAAGGTGACAAACCAGCATGTGACCACATAAATCCGTCAAAATGGCGAAGCGAGCATCCGAAATTGTAGATGCGTTGTCTACCCTTAATCGACGGAAGAGGAGACGCATATAAACAGAACATTTCCCTTGTTATCCATCTCCTCCGCCGTCAAATCCACTTCTTCCCATCCTTTCCTCTTAAGAAAAGAGTGGAAAGGAAAATGGTCTAGAATAAGGCCCCCGGCAAACATTTTAATTCCTTATGTATTAATAGGATAAACAAGAATACATAACGGTGCAACGTTCCTTGGAACGGAAAGTGATCGTATTCACAACACCGAGTCAAGTTCAAGACGATAACATTGCTTGGTTGAGTGATAATCTAATTATTACCGCAGAGTACATAGACGACGTATATAAAGGGTTTGATGACCGATGTATTTATTAATTCACTTATATACTTGTAGAATTTGTTTACCAATAAAGAATTTAATAAGAATTTTAAAAATGTTGACAGTTTTGGTCACCAGTATTTAAGATTTCTTAAGGAAACATAGTGTATTTCTCGATTATATTAACTGTATTAAAAAAAACAAGAATAAACTAGTTATAGCTTTGACTAATAATTTTCTTTCGAGAAACCCGGTTATAACATGAGACAAGAGATATAAAAGCGATCAGTTATTACGACTAAAATAATATGTATATTCGAACAAAAATTTTGCAATTGCTTGAAGAGCTATCATACGTCGAATTTAATGATACGTAAAATAATTAAAAACAACACGAAATCTATTTATTATAAATTTATCGCTTTTTAATCGGTATTATTATTTTATAGCTAACAGGGCAATTTAGAATAACATTGTCGTGAAGTAAACAAATAGGACACTAACGATAAGGCAATGGCAAGTCAACATTTATTGACTAGTTTATTCCAAAGGCGACAAAAAACCTACACCAATTTAAATACATTTTAAACTATAATTTCCGAGTCAACGACCTTCAGCCAAAAAATCTTTTTCGATTTGAGAGCTGTGACGTCACAACGTTGTTAACAATCGATTTATCTTTCCTTAAAACAAAATATAAGGAAATAGAATAACTCTTACCTTGTGACTGGATACAACTGGCTAAATTTCTGGCACAAGTGTAGACTACAGGATTTCTCCGTTTGATTTGAATCGCTGCAGCTGATTGGCTTTCCTACAAAAACATACCACATTTTATTCACATACTAGCTTTTGCCAACGTCCCCGTCGGAGTGGATTAAAAATTATGTAACTTTGCCAAATTTCATTGGGATCCGTTCAACAGTTTAGGCTACAAACTCTTACAAACATCCATCCATCTAAACTTTCGCATTTATATTAGTATGATATATATTACCACCGTTTATATTACTTAAATCTCTCCAACATACAGTAAATTATAAGCACCCGTTCTTATACCTTTCTGAACCCATGCATGTGTGAAGACGCAATATTTTATAACTGAGCTAAATGGAAGTCGGTATCTGCCTACCCCTCTGGGTTAAAGCGTTATTTTGTTTAATTGAAGGATGGTTCATAGTTTATTATTTAATTTATAATTATAGCATTTTAAGTAAGGTATCTTTCGAAGTAATAATTGATATAATATAAAAAAATGCCGTTCTCGAGAGACAATTCCGTCTCTGATGCACAAATAGGGGCGTATTTAACGTATACCCGATTGATAAGCAACATAGAATTTAATATTTCCTTGTAACATAATCAGGCGGTGACTGTATTGGTTTTTTTTAAACAAGCTGTCGTTTAGTACGAATTATGTTAATTGCTTCATGTAATGTGATATCTATTTATAAAAACTTGCTGTCGCCCGCGACTCTGATCGCGTGGATTTAAAAAAAAAAACTTAGTAGCCTATGTGTTCTTGCAGACTATGCTCTACATATGTGCCAAATTTCATTGAGATCCGTTGAACTGTTTTGGAGATACTTAGTAACAAACATCCATCCATTTTAACTTCGTCAGTTATCATAGTAGTAAGAAGTAAGATATATGTTTACCATTTTCGTCTTCCGCCGGTGGTTTAATCAATGACCATGTAACTCCGTGGTCGAAGGTGATGAGGGAGACGAGGTGTTCAGGCTCTATGTCGGCGATCAGGGACTTTGAGTTGACCTTGGACGCGATGTAGATGCCCTTCAAACCCTCCACACGGTACAGATCCGTGAACGCATCATCCGTTACATCTCTACAAGGAAAATTGCCTTATTAAGTAAAAAATAACAACATTAAATAAGCATTGTTTTTTTTCTTTAAATATAAATCATTGAAAACAATTAAACATGCAATTTTTTTCTAAAGCTAATTTATAACCATAGATGTCTAAATTACATGAAACTTTTTTATCGTTTCACAATTGACTGGCATTTCTTAGTAATGCCAATCGCTACTGTCCGAGATTCCTCGAAACATGATACATGGTCTGTCTAAATTCGATTAACTGAGCTTGTTGGAATTTGATATTTAAACATCGACATTTAATGATTGTATTTAAAATCTAATGCAAGGGTCGAAAATTATTTCTAATATTGCAAAGTAACTTTTCGATATCTTAGATGCCCTTTTGAAAACCATACGATTCGTTTATGAAGTTGTCAGTTAATCTGTAGGAGACGCCACATCTATTTCTGTATAAGTTACTGTAAAGAAAGCGGTAAAATTTACTTACTCCAACCAGCTATCCTTCCAATTGCCCTGAGGGAAGTAGCACAGAACTTGCTCCAAACTCAGCACAAAGTTGTACTGTGTGAAATTGTTGCTTATCTCTGACACATACAAGTTAGTTAGGTTTTCAGTGTGCATGACAGAGATGAATATACGTTTGTCCGTCACATCCGCTATGTGAAACTTCCTCCTGTCCAGTTCTGTTTGGAACTCGGCCTTGTAGAATGGACCTCGTTGATGCGAAATGTAGAGGTCTAACGTGTTATTCTGAAACAAAAAACGACCAATGATTTTGTAAGCCACAAAAAAAATAAAGGTAAATATAAATGTTCATAAAAAAACTAAATTTGTGGTAATTTAAAATCTGTGGTATAAAATTAAGAGACCTTTTACATCTGTCCTTTAATTCAACAAAAATCTAGACCTTCGATAATTTAATAAAAATAAGGACGGCAATTGAAATTAATATGATATTAAGAAACAAATAAAGAGGATAAAAGACATTTAACTCCCCTTGACAATAAAAACTTTTTTAATTACATTCATACATAATCGTTAAAGAAACCTGTTCGGTCACTTGCACTAGGAATAATAATTAAAAACATACATTACACGCGTTACCAATACTAAGAATCTATTAATAATTTATAATAAGAGGAAATAAATGTTTAAAGGCGCTTAATAGGGGAGTGTTAATAATTATAAAATACTCTACATTCTAAAATCAGCAACAGAAGAAATAACAATTCTGGTAGATAATGTAGTTTGTTGTACAAGTCCTAACGGCAAAATTTACGCAACATTGTCTTTTGCAAGCGAAACTATTAAATGCAAAATCTAAAGATTGTCACACACGATGACAATGACCAAATAGTTCATATCAGTTATTGTTTTATGTCCTTTCATTCCTCGTTATGGCAGAAACTAGGACAAAAGCTCCATTAGTTCGTGCACCTTAGATAGTCGTGTGACAATTATTTTACACTTAGATGGATAACTGCATTGTGTTTACAAGTAGTTAATTTATTTTAATTTAACGTTGTCTATATCATTATAACATTGTTATTTCATATAAATAACTCAAGATAAACTTGAAGTCACAGAAGTACATAAATTGTATCACGGATCGAAAAGGACTTGCACCGGATGGAGTCTTCCTGGATAGAAATGAAACAGTCATTATTAAATACGTCACTTATATTAATATATTACCCATATATCAAACTATAATGAAGGATGCACCGTATTCGGGGATTCCCCGCTTATTGTATTTACGAACGTGTTAGTAACCAATAAAAATGCACCTTCAAAGTCGTAGTTATGCACGTGTGCAATAAAATATCTCTTAAAATAAAAATAAAAGATGCTAGAAATCCAATGCAATAGGTAGATACGCAACGACTTTCGAAAAAGTTACGTAACATTTTTGACATTTTAATAAAAAAATATATTCTAAATTGCTTACAAAATTTTAAAAATTATTAAAACAAGGTTTTGATACTGATGAAACATTACATGCAAAAGATTCAAGTCATGGTCAAATTGCAACATAAAATCATTCATAACATAAATTTCAATTATCCTTGTATTACTAACTTACCATGCGTTCTATATAAAAAATATTTACATTTTTCAAAGTTAAGTTTAAAAAAGTCCTTTAGAAAACTACACGTGATAAAATATTTTATAGCCATCATATTTACCCGTACACTCAAAAAAAAAGTTAACCGCACCAAATATTACGACTTTCTATTTTACATAACACTTTTTAATAAATGTTACACTTTCTCCGCATTATTTTTATATTAAAAACTATAGTACATTATACAACAGTTATCAAGCGTCATTATTTCCTGTCCAGTATGATAGTTGTTTGTACAAGAAAAGATCATCGACAAGTAATTAACGAGAAAAAATATCGCGTGATCTTAGAATATAAAGATAGAAGAGAACGTTATGGATACGCCACACGGAAACGTGATTTTGCTAAACATCCATTTACTAAATTAGGCTTTAGGGACGACTGGAACAAAACGTATTTTGCTATAAAACTCCACTACATTTGTATTACTCGTAATACATTCTTGTCACTTTCATACTCTTTAACAAAACAAACACTAATATATCTGCTAGCTCTTGCTGTTGAAAAAAAAAACTTAACGTAGCCTGCGCATCGTACCAGACTATTTTCTTTATCTGTGCCGAATTTCATCAAGATCCGTAAAGCCTTTTTGGAGAAACAAAGTAACATACATCTATTCGAAGTGCTATAAAAAGTTGATTATAAAATTAGTATGATACAATCTTTGCACAGTGGGACTAAAAAATACGTTAACTTAGCAGTAGCTAAATTAAAAAAATATTTCAACTGCGCGCTTCACAAAGCCACAGTTGTTGCGATATAATATGGCAAAGAATTAAAAACGACCTTTGTTTAAACGTTCGATAATAAACGGGAAGTACGCCAAGGATTTTTGACGTCTTCTAGAATAAAAAAAAAACTTTCTAAACCGTTATCAAAAATTATAAAACATTTTAACAGCTTTAGAAACTTTAAATTATTCTCATGTTACATATACAAAAGTACATTTTGCTACTAATAAAAATAAATACGAATTTATAATTAGCGTTTCAAAATTCTTTGACCTTGTTTACAATCGTGTTTGTACTTGACTAAAAATAATAGTTTTTTTTTTTTTTATCTTCATATTCAACATCTTTGTAACTATACGCGGATATACGGAAAGAAAGAAATCTTATAATTTTTTATCTTACGAACATAACGCATCAAATTAAAACTGCATATTCTAGATAATTAATTTGAAGTAGAAACTACTAGCTTTTGCCCTCGACTCCGACTTGAATAAAAAAACAAAAGCAAGTAGCCTACGTATATCTAGATACATCTATGCGAAGTTTTCACAAGATCTGTTCAGCAATTTAGACTACAAATTAATAATAAACCATCCAACTAAACTTTCCCATTTATAATATTAGTAAAAAGTATATCTTGAGGCATCACAAACGGTTTCATCTATCAGTAACTTTATCAGGCCAGTTAGCGAAATTAGCATTGAGAGTGACGACTGTCCTGTACTCATCTGCCGGAATATTAACCAATTTACATTGAATTCTTTGTACCTACGTGCATTACACATTGCTTTGAATCACGTTACTCTAACCACAAAACATTTGCCATTTTAACAGTAGAATTCCATTGCCTTGACTCTTGTTTTAATACCGTTATCCCTTTCGTTCTCTTGAACAAAACAGAGTACAATATATTAATAGATGTTTTATAACAGTGTAATTCTACGCTATATTTCACTTACAGGATATTTTATAAATACACTATGTTGCATTTTGAATTGTCAAAAATGTACGCCACAATTAACTACTAAAAACCACTTAGATTAGATATTCAACGTCTAAAGGAAAAGTGTTTGATCCCAATGTCAGTTCTTAACGAGTTTTGAATGAGTTTCGGTTTGCTTGCAATTACTTATGTACAAAACAAAAAAAGAGTGCAATTTCTTAATGTCACGATATGCAAAATAAACAGTCTTAAATACGATTATGAACCTGTATAAATATTTTTTTATACGTGAAGAGCTATGTAAAAAGCTTAAAAAGGGTTTTGCCTTCATTTTTTTATAAAGTGATAAACTATTGATTTTCATACATTTGTCTTATTTAAAATTCTGACTTTGTTGGGTAATTTAGGGGTGTGTATAAGTGTATCAAACTATAACACAAACAGTAACTGTATCCATAGTTTCTGCTAACTATAAACAATATTTGTTATAACAGGAAGCGTAGATGTGGGTGTTGATATTGTATAACAATATTTGCTTTTCGCCAAAATAATTAACTCATAACACGTGTAGCACAGCCTCGAAAGCGAAGCGGAGCAGAAGCGAAACTAACGCCTAAAGCCGTCATGTCTGGTTTAACTAATTTCAATCCAGTAACACAATAGCGCTGGACTGTATAGACGATAGTGTTTATATGGTCAGATGAGATGTAAACACAGATCAATCTGGCTTGGTCTAGATAGTGTCAACAGCCTAAGAGTCGTCCCCACACAACTAAATGCATCGCTCCCCCAGTGCATATATCTAGGACACAGTAATGACTCAAGACCATATCCGGTGTTTACAAGCATCGGGCGATACTCACAAGTATCGAATTGCTCCAATGTGCTGACACCTTAATAAAGATAACGACACGTTAAAAATACATCTAGAATGTTCCTCGAGCATATCATCGCATACTGCATTCAATAGATTTACATACTTTACCACGATCATTTACCACGATCAAATTTTACTTCTTACTAATACTATAAATGCGAAAGTCTAGATTGATCGATAGATGTTAGTTGGTGTTTGTTGCCAAAACGGCTATACGGCTATGTAATTTGGCATATATGTCTCTACATCTCTGATAGTCTGGAAGAATGCATAGGCTACTCGCTTTTCTTTTTAATTAATTCCACGCGGACGGAGTCGCGGGCAACAGCTAGTTAATTTATTAAAGAAGCGCCAATAGCCTAATAGTTAAGGATACAGACATCCGATCACGTGGTCGTAGGTACGGATTCCGACTATCTATAACCGTATAAGAAGGTTAGAATTATTAGTAAAATTAAAAAAAATAACGCACAACATTTTCCTTGTATGCATACAATAACCGCCTTGAATACAATTAAAACAAGCTTGTTTTTACCTTAACACTTAGACTGTGATAATTTGTTACTCCGAGATAAAATATAATTAATCAATCGTTATCACGAAGTTTACATTAATATGAAAATGAAATGAAAAAAACAAAAAAATACAACGCATTTTAATCTCATGTAATTTTTGCTTACATATAGTACAAAATTATAATTATTTTAATAATTCTATGAGTAACGTTACAACGCCTTGTGATTCAGAGACTAAAGTGCACTTCGGATTTACTTCATTGCACACATAATTTTTTTTAAGTACCTATATTATTAATCATTTTAAATGTATACGAGATGAGAATTAAATCATTAGAGATCTAAGTAAGGAGTATTCTGAATTTTCTTTTAAAATCAATATTCCATATTATATATTCCAGTATACAAAGACCCTACTATCGACCATGTGATAACGCCACTTTCGTTTATAGCATCAAAACAATAACAAAGTGACCTGAGTCACATGGACGTTATCGTACAAGTACAAAGATAAATTTCTAAATAAAATGCTTCCCTTTCCAAAGTATACGAAGGACGTCAAACTATTTGATAACGAAATCAGATTACGCGCGTGTTTGTTCAACTATGTACGGCTTCGTCGTAAATAGAACTACAAACGTGTAGGTTATAGATTTATTTTTAAAAACTATAAAAGCAGGCACACACCTTTGACTAACAATTCACAACAGTTGTGCGATTCTCGATTGTTCTTAGCTAATCCAACTGTTTAGTTGCACAGCTAAAAATCAAGTAGTGTGCGCACCTTCAAATAAGCTCATAGGAATCACAGCGAGACGAAACTGTTGTGCGATAGTTTAGTTTCAGGTGTGCGCGCGCTCTAAATATTTATGTAACTTTAGGGAAACTATTCGAATATAATACATACTTCAAATTACTTTAAAATTTCGTTTCTGAAAGTTTCATCCTATAATTCACACTAGATTCTAGTCGCCCAAATAATACTATCTTCATAGAAATAGCTACACGGTGGCAATAACATCGCAGTCATATTCAAAATAATCTGCTCTACGACGTTTGAATAGAAGCCTTTGAGCTTACGACAAACCGACATTAAATCACAATAAATCAGTTATAGGGACAAAAGAACCCGAACACCATAAAATAGTAACAAAAAATTAAACCTAATCCATAAATAAATACAATAACTCTTTAGTACAATATAAATATACATATATGAGTATTACATCTGTGTATAACCATACTAAATCCACTTGCAGCGAGGAAGTGCTTTGTCAAGTGAATAATACGAAGCGAGATTGCCCTCCTAACGTGTATAACTCCTTTGTAAGTGCTTGATACATACGGATCATTGTTCGACGTCCTTTTCAATTATTTTAATGTTCCTTAAATAATACTCTATTGATATAAGATAACTTGGTATACTCTTGTTTGCGTAAACAATCCGGCATTTCCCTCACCTAATTAATGTTTCTGTTATTAATACTTAATGTTTATTTAAATTAAAAGCAACTGATTTAACATTAATAAAATAAAATCTGACCATCGAAATTAGAATGCACCATACTAATATTAAAAATGCGAAAGTTTTGATGGATGGATGGATGTTTGTTAGAGTTTGTAGTTTTTGTAACGGCTGAACAAATATCGATGAAATTTGGCATAGACGTAGAGTATAGTTAAGAAGAACACTTAGATTATTCACTTTTTTTTTAATTTCAAGCGCACGGCGTCGCGGGCAAAAGCTTTTGTTAATAATCCTTACAAGAGTCCTAAAAGTAAACATTAGGTAACAGATCAAATTCGTAATTTTTTTATATTTGTTAAGCGAGCACTTGACCATGGTTCCACTTGAAGAAATTAATGATGTAGTCGAAATATGATACGCGCTAGCTTAATAAGTAATTATTTACTCTTTTATGTTAGTAAGTAAATATGTATAGAATAACAATTAGCAATAGCGTCATAATTATTATTATTTTAGTTGTATGAATCAAAGTTTGAAATCAAAAAAAAAATATTTCATACAGTAACAATTCAGCAATACATTTAAAACACATAAACAACTTACATCTTTTTGTCTCATAGCAAACATGTAATCTCCTTTGATCTGGAACTCCTTGGCATCCGCAAATAAGACTTTAGCGTTTATCATATCTTCAGGGTCACTGACAGAGAGTACTGTGCTGCTGCGATTTGGCTCCCAGCGTTCCAGATAGAACATCTTCGGAAAACCAGGTCCTGAAGACCAGTAGAATGTCTTCACATAGCTCTGGATGAGAGTAAATGTCTTGCCACCATTGAAAGTCATGTAGAGCTAAAAAAAGTAAAAACATAAAATAACTATCTTACACCCATAACACTGTCCTCATAGAATTAAACAAAAAAACAAAACTAAGTAGCATATGTGGAAATAAGTGATATAATCATTCATTCATCCATCCAAAGTATGATATACTAACCATGCGATTACGGCCAACTTTATCCAATACAACAAATCTTTTTGGATTATCTTCATCAAATAACAACTCACTGGGATGAAATGTGAGTTCCGATCTGAGTATATTGTGACCATTATCATCAGTATAGTACAACCTTTTGTTGGTAGAATCAACAAAAACACACTGCAACAAAGAAAATTTGTCAAATTTTCCCTAAATAAATAGTAAATCTATATTTTATAACTCATTCACATTATTAAAATCATAGAAATTTCAATGTATATAATAAACAATCAATTCTTTTGTAGCTACATTTCCTATAACATACATAACAATCATAACTTAATATTAATTTAATATCTGGTTAACTGCACTACCATACTAAGAATACATATTAAATACTAAGCTACTAAAAATAGTACACTTAGTTTTAATTGGCTTTATTCAGCTGTTCAAACAGTTCAGGTCATTGATCTCTATTGCTTTTATATATCTACAATGTAGATATATTAAATAACAGATTTGACAACTCAATAATTAATTTCAAAACAAAATAAAATTAGAGAGTCTGTGCATTTTTCATATTTTATAAACATATTACTTATAACAAGTAATCAATTGTTAAAAAATTCCTCATTGTTTACAAATTGCGTCCATACCAGGTAAATTCCAATGAAGGCAATATAATATAAAATAAATATGTTTAACATTCTTCTGCAGTTCCTCTAATGTTAAAAAGTTCTTTGGCTTTTGTTCACTTAACACCATGATTAATGGGTCTTTGTCTTCTAGAAAAAAACTTACTATTACAACATTTTAAAGTAGAAATTACTTACAAACTCTGGATGTTTTGGATGGTTGTAGAACCTGTCCAGCTGAGCATATCCACTGTTTGGTGTGTCATCCAATCTGAAGCTTTCTGTTTTATTGACAATTGTCTGACCATAGTTGTAAGAGATGAAGAGAGCTGATGGTGATAGGGTTCCATTGCTCCTTGGACTAGAATCTCTTGCTAAGCAAATTATGACCTTGGACCCCTCGCCTACCCAATGCACCATCAATTGCTGGTGACTGTCATTGAGATGAGTTGTCTGTTAAGTGAAAAAATATGTATAATAGTTGATACTATAAACATAATGTTTAAAAAATGTTTATTAATGAAGTACTAAAAACCTGGAAATTAAATAATTTTCATTTAAATTTATCCGTAATCACAAATTACCAAAGCATATTTTGTCTTTGTGCATATTATTGCTTAATCATTGTGAATCAAAAATAGAAGAAAGGGAACAACATACCTACGAAACGTCAAAAGACATTTATAGTTGAAAATGAAATAAATCGTAGTAATGACTGAGGCGACATAAAGGCAAAATAACAAAGGGGAGAGTGATTCTCTGTAGTTAATAAGGAAACGGTGCATTACCCATGTACTTATATTTTTCTCGAGAGCCGGCGCCGGGGTCGTTGGCGCTTCGCGTTTTTTCCTTTCAAAACGCGAACCATCTCCGACTGTATCGAATTTATTTATTACGAATAATTTCCCGGAACCCTCAAGCGGTTCTTGTGCCACGTATAATGATTTTTCCCACGTTTCATATTCGTGTAAAGACAAAACACACGGAATGAAATACAGCAATGCTATTAAACATATTCGACGTCTTATGACTGTAAACATTTTGTCATCACTGCAATGAATCCACAAACCCAGCCGATCATACACGTAAATTGAATAAAACTGCGCTGTAATTTTTAACAGATTTGACTTTGACAGCACAATTTGACACTGACGGCTGACAAATGTCAAGAATAATTTAACAGATTATGTAAACACAAAGATTATCAAAATTGACGATCGTTTCGGTAAATTCTAAATAAAATTACATTTAGAATACTGAAACATATAAAAATACAGACCCCTACCCGGTCTCAACCCAAAATACCCTCCTACTCCTAAATTACCTCATGCTCATATTTATAGTTTTATACATTATAGTCTTTATCGCTCTATCCGATCCATTGCTTTGCTTGTCAATGTTAGTGACCCTATGTAACTGATTTCTTCACAGTACATCATTGACCCCCTTTTAATTGAATGATTGCCTTGTACATTTTTTACGCACGTATCTTTTTCAATGTGTAGATCTATTCTAAATGTTTGGAATAAAACAAAATTTTGTATATGTTTTTAGTTTTTATTTATCATATAATTACAATACAATCACACTCTGCTTAGCTTGCTGCCTGGCTTTCTGGCGGACTTGTGCGGCGATTCTGTCGAGATCGCGTCTGCCCTGGACAGTGAGGATACGGCCACCGTCTGGCACTTTCTCAACCAACTTCAGGGCTTCGAGGGCCTGCAGTGCCTTCCTTGCAATACTGCCTGATGATCTATGAAGTAATACATAACATGTTATCTAACATTTTTCTTATTACACAATTTAGTAACATTTAACAACTTTTAAAAGTTATAAAACTTATTAAAAGCTATAAATTTTGAACAGACTTTACAAGTATGAATGTTTTTAAAATTTCACAATCTACCTTTAATTCAATGAGGTAATAAAATTCAAATTCTTATAAGAATTTTTATATGTTAATAGAGAAATGAATTATTTTTAGTAATTAAGTAACAGTTCATAAATCCAAATAATGAGAACCAGCTAATCTATAGACCTACCCTAAAGGGTAGAGGGGTAATGATTTCAGAGAGATATTAGATTTCATATTCACAAAAAAGGAGACTTGTACAGGAGGCTCCAATAGCTGATGACATTGTATGCAATCATAGAAATATTGGCAATGGGAGTTAAAACAAAAATCCTACAACACCAAGCTCATAGCCATCTTTAGCCATTATGCTTTAGATGATGATTCAAGTTAAAGTAAATACTTGATGGTCTATTTAATAGTATTGTTACTTTTTCTAGCTGTAATAATACAAAACATTTTTATGCATAATTTCTATTAATTTTACATATTGTTCCTATCCAGCTATATAAAACTGTATAATCACTTCACAGGTCCAACAGAATTGAATGTATTGGAAATTGTCAATTTAACTTTTGTACTTTTGATATAAAGCCTTGGATTTCAAAACATGTTCTAAATGTGCTTGCTTCAATAATAAGCTTTGACATCAGTTTAGTATACATTTTCTTAAATTTAGTGAAGCTAATTACAGAATGAAAAAAGGTAAAAGAAGAATAACCTATCGCAAATTAAAGACATCATAAAAATGTTAATTTTAAGAAATAGTAGACTTAAATTGTTTATTAAATTACCTGCAGAAGTGTGATGGGGTTACTCCATTACGTTTACGGCCTCCAAATATTTTAGTGACAGTTTTTACTCCAACCGGTGAGCGAATGTAAACATGACGCAGCACAGCGGCACAGCGGACATAGAACCAGTCAGGATCATAAGGTGCTAGCTCCTTGAAGCGACCAGTCTTTACCAGATCCATATGTTCTGGAACCTTTACTTTGCCCGTTCTGTAAATAAAAATTAGGTGAAATTTTTATACCACTTCAAAAATTTTGATTTTTACAAGTTTATATGTATAAATAATACGTACTTTTTCAAATGGGCAGCCACGGTCTTGACGACCTTGTCTTGTTCGACATCCTTAAGAGTCACGGAACGCATCTTAAAAAAAAACAAATACAATATAAATTAGTTTTCTAAAGTGGTTAAATTATTTCGCCTATCACAGACGGTAGACCATATTAATATATAGGTACAATAAAAAAATAGGTCTTAGATATTCGTGTAATTCATTATTTTAAGTCGCTGACAATTCCTAACTTAATATTTATAGGTTAGGTTGCTTCTCTTGAAATTTGTTTATAGCAGTTGCATAAAGCAACAACCTTTCTTCTTTACTTCAACATAAAGCAATACAAAGATTACAAATTGCTCTATATTAATCCCCAAATATTATGGAAAAACATTATTAGAAATTAGAAGCTTGCGAGGTCCTAGTAACGAGATATATGAAGCATGTTTGTAACACTGAGAGCACACTAACATTTATAATAAGCAGTGGACATAAAATTGTATCCATTACCATAGTATTAAAACTCACTTTTATACCACGAAAACCTTTACTATTACTTAAATACTCTTTAAAACCATGTGGGAAAACTTAAAGACTCACCTTGCCTTGTGTTGGCAACCGGAAGAAAGAAAGAGACAACTAGTACAGTGTTGACATATGGAAATAACAAATTTCTAAAAAAAACTTAAAGATGTCTATGCCTTAAGTAAAAAAGATTAAATAAAGGCTATAATAAACAATAAATAACATTATTGCATATTATTGAAGAAACCAAATTTAATAAATCATAAACATCATCCTCCTTATCCTACTCCAGTTAAGTCGGCGCAACAGGTTTTTGTCCTCCAAATAACTCTATCATACGTCATCTTAGTCATGACTCATGACTCATGACTCCCTTTTTGATCACATCACCTTTTCAGGATGTTTCCTCCTGGATCTTCGAGGTTAACGCGTCGATAACCAGGAGGAACAGATAAGGACCTAAAGCCGATCCCTGGTTTAGGCACAGTTCAGTGTGGCTTACTGTTGTAAATGAAACCCATTTGATGTTTTGCAGTGTAAGACTGGCTGTATTTAAATAATGACATATGTTAATTTAGTTTGAGTTGTTCGAATGTAGAGAAAATGAACATGTCTAGAATAGTATAAAAATAATATCTTGTTTTTATACACAGTTGTATTGATATTAGTTTATATGAGAATAAATAACAATATTTATTTATTTAATCATTTTTGTGTGCTGGCTAAACCAAATTCCTATCACTTACACTGAACTTGTCGGTTACGCCAGCTGCAGACCTGACGTAAGTGTTCGCTCTTTTATACATAGCACATAGCACTCTTTTCACGAGTTGCATGTACATACTTCCCAGGCACTTGTCTTTTTTTTATCGCCCACCACAGAACCTTAAGGGGGACTCGGTCGTATGCCTTTTCAAAGTCAACGAACACCATATGCAAGTTCTTAGAATATTTCAAATATTTTTTAGAATTCAATAAATTAAAAACTAACCAGAACATCATCTCTCTAAGTAGGGTTAGATCCAGATCTCATCGGATCATCACACGGGGTTTTCGTTCTCCACATAACTCTATCATCCGTCATCTTCGTCGCCATTTCCTTCTTGATCACGTCACTTTTTAGTAAAAGTTTTTACACAATCCATCATCTCTTTCTAGGTCTAATTCTACTGGTGTACCTCTTCACACCCCTCCATAATTAATGTCCTTGTTAAATGCGATTCATCCCTCCTTATAACATGACCATACAATGCTAACCCTTTACTTTAAAGGGAATGTGGGGGTCGCACATTACCAAAAAAAAAAATATTAAAAATCCACGAATAAACATCAATAGAGTTTTCAATTAATTTGTCTGTGACTGTGGTCTATGTTAATTTAAAAAGTTGGCGTAATGTCTTTGTTTATATGTCAAAAATTGGAAAATGGCCGCGAAACATAATTCTATTGTGAACGATGGTAAATGTATTTTCATTGCATTTTCTCTGCATTATATTTATAGTATTCATATTTTAATTTGATCTCTTAAAGTCACGGGTCCATTTGGGTCTAGATGATTTATTACCATTGGAGTTTAAGTAATTTTACTTTCTTTCAGGGCAAACAACATCAGAAGATATTCCATTGACATCCTTAGAGGAAAGTCTTCTTAGTTTAGAAAAGCTTGATAGAGCCTCGCCAGAACTATGGCCTGAACAGAGTAAGGAAATGTCATTCAAATGTAATCAATAAATTTTGCACCTTTTGTAAAAAGGGATCGGATTTTCAAAAATCCGCGCGTATTACGTTTCATTTCTAATGTTGTCACTCCGTCCACCATTACGACAATCCATTCACTTTCCTAATTTCAGTTATAACGTCCGTATTTTAAACACTTCATTTAAAATGGGTGACGGCAATAACAATTTGTCGATAAGTGACGATAGTACACAACATTCAAATGACTCTTTCGCAGTTCCCGGTGTTTCCGAGTTTGCGAGTTTGCAGAATGTCGACCAATCTCCTCCGTCGTGGAAAGGTCTTACCAAAGAAGACTACGCTCACATGCGACGTAAGTTTTTACAAATAATTACTTTTAACTAGCTATCGATTACCAAATTAGCAAATTACCAACCCATAATGAAACTAAATATCGTCTCTATTTTGACTTAACGTAATAAAACACAGTGCAAGTATATGTTGTTTAGACTTTTTAGTTTTCAATCTTAGGTTTTGTTTGTTTTTTTTTAAATCAGTACTTTATCAAGTAGCCAAATTCTATTGTTTAGTAAAATTCCAACATAAATTGTTGGTTAATATTAGCATCCCAAAACTGCACACACTAAGTATGATAAAATTTTTCAGAACTCGGATCACTGACAACAAGCGGTCTGATAATGGAAGTGAAAAGACTTCATGATGTTGCTTATCAGCTTGGGCTTGAAGAGGCCAAAGAAATGACAAGAGGAAAGTATCTAAACATATTCAAATCTCGACGGCAGAGATAACTTATTAATGTAGCTATTTGAAATAGAATAAAAAATATTTAAATTTTATTTGTAACATTATAAGGTTTATTCTTAATGTCTTCTGCAAACAATTGTTAAGTTTAGTTTACTATTTAATATATAACTGGCATACAAGTTTGTTTCTTTACATGAAATAATTCCTTTGAGTCCACAACGGAGTAGACGGATATTAAAATTTTGTTAACGGATATTAAATTGTTTTGTTTTTAGGAAATTTTATAGAATTGTGATGTGATCTACAGGTAAAAAAAAAAACAATGAAATTAAAACAATTCAATAAATACAAATTTTATTATAACATACTTAAGGCGAAAAAGACAAGAACTAATTTGTAAATCTTAAAATGGCATAACTTTTCTCATTACCCTTCATCCTCTATCTATAAATCTTATTTTCAAAGGCTTATTTGGTTTGGCGATAAAACTTCGAGTAGGTTCGATATCGCCGTAGTGATACTCCAGCTTGTACTTTTGTAATACCTGACAATTACAATCAAATTAGATTATGAATTAAGCATTTCTTTTCAAACTTTTTTAATCTACATACCTTAGTAATCAGCAGTGTTGCCATCACTTCCGCAATATTTTGCCCTAAACATTTCCTTGCGCCGTAACCAAAAGATATCGATCCGAATTCGTGATTGTACTTGGACTCTTCGTCCAGCCACCGCTCGGGGTAGAACTTTGCGGCGTCATCGAAGTTGTTCTCTTTGAGCGCGGCGTCTTGTATTGACATCATTATGAGCGTACCTCGCGGTATACTACGCAGTTTTAGTAAAAAAGATTGGAATTAAACAAAATGTAATAGGTGGATGAAAACCTTAGAAAGTGTCGAATAAAAATCTATCAATTTACGAGATTTTAAAGTAAATGTTCGCGAATTTATATCGTGAAAAAAGCATGGTTAATAATAATGCACTAAAAGAATAAAACTATATCTTCGTTAATATTATTTACTTACTTATAGCTATCTAAAACTATATTCTTTGGTAAGATTCTTGTTAACAACGGTATTGGTGGAGTCAATCTGAAAACGATAGTTTTGTTTAACATTAGGAGTTAAATGGTAGTTTAATGTATAATAAAGTGTCATCTACCTTAATGTTTCCTTGATGGTAGCCTGGACATATGGCATTCTTTCTTTGAATGTATTGATATCTTTTGATAATAATTCTGGGGTGAAGTTTTGTTCTATTTCTTGGTAAAGTAATCTCTGTACTCTTTGATGCTTCGCTATGAAGTACAGTGAAAACGATAACGCCGAAGTTATCTATGTAAGAAAGCATTATTAGGCGAAGGAACACATCGTATTATAAGATTCAAATTTAACATAGGCGCGCGGATATCCATCCCTCGCGTCTTTTAACGTGTTGCAGAAACCTAATAGGTTTCATCTCTTGTTAGAAAATACGGATCGTTATAAAGTTTGAATAGAACTGTATTTATTTCGTTATATACATAATTAATACCGTGTTAACACCAATCAAAAGCATGTCCATGACGACCGTTGCAATATCCTCCACATTCATTTTCTCTTCACCGAGTAACATCGACCCGATGAAGGGATTACCATCTAGAAAGATAACAATAATTAAAGCATATTGTTCAATCAAAACTTTAGTAAAGAAAATTGACGCTTACCCTTGAATTTGTCTTTTTCATTACTTAGCGCAATATTTTGCTCCACTTCTAGGACATGCTTGCCAATCAAACTAAATTAAACATAAGAAAAATTTTAAATTTACCACAAATTAATAAAACTTTGTTTCACCAGTTTTTTTTATCGATTCGACCTAGGTCACATCTTACAAAAACACAGAAACATTTCCAATATGAATAATCTAGAAGTATTATGCCCGGCTAATATTTAAGTCTGATCGAAATTAGTGTGGGTTTATATTTTTTTCCAGTTGTTATGCCACGCTGATTTCGATTGCTGGATTAGAATAATGTAAACCAGGCATTAACGTGAACAATTGTCTTTTGCAATTCTATTATTGAATGAGGGTAGTCTAAAAAGAGAATGGTGGGTAGTATTAAAAAAATACTTCATTATACACACATGTCACTCTTCAGAGATTAATTTACCTTTACGTGTAAAGGTTACACTTACTTGTCCAAGCTGTCGCAGTATTTGATGAGGGAGTACCAAGCGGGCGTGGGCAGGAGTTTCCACATGTGCATGCCGCTCTCGCACCTGGCGATCGCTTCGCTCGCCTTCACCAGACTGTGGTACAGCCACGACATATCGCACTGGCTGTATATCAGCTCCTTGTCTAACATTTCAAACTTTTTCGAAAATATAATCAAACCTGTGAAAACAACTTTTTTAATTAACGTAATCCATTTATAACCCTGAACTACAGACAAGCAATAATTTACACTACAACTCGAAAATCAGGTGTTTCTGGCAAAACTTTGTTTATAACATCTACTACTACTACATGAAAATAACTACGTCTAAAATACGAATATATGGTAGTTGAAATATCTCTGTTCCCTTCAGTTTTCAATCGAAACAAAAAACAATTACAAATGTTATCCTATACTACTTACCCATACAGTCAAATGCCCATTTATTTAACTCATCTACTAAATCTTTCGGTATCTCATCTTGATAATTTCGCATGTTGTATATTTTCTGCGTAAACATGTCGCAAGATTCACAGATGCCCTGCACGTGTTGCGTGATGGCATCTTGTAACGGAACGTCCATCACCGACCTACGACGCGTCCACTCTGGTCCATGGCTGATGGTAATGAAGACGAAGAAAATATTTTTTTTACATGTATTATTATCTAAGTGAAGGATAGAATTTTTCTTGGGTAGATAATAAATAATGAAATACTTACATTGCATAAATCCCACCATAGACGTGACTTCTGCATTCCGACCTATATCTCTCCAAGGAATCCAAAGCCGATCTAACTGGATGATGACCTTCCATGTTGTATACTTTTTTTATGTGATCTGGACGATTGATGAGTACCACATCTCCGCCTACCGGACTAACAAAACGCACAACAGGGCCATATTCGTCGAATAATGTTGATAAACTCCGCATTGGTTTCTTTTTGTAGAAATGTGCACCTGAGATTACATTTCTTCTGTATTTAATTGTCAAGTAACAAACAAATAAATTCGAAGTTCGTTATTTTAAATTCTTATCCCTTCGCCTTTCTTCCATATTACTTCTTTCTTTCACCCTACATTGTCTTATTTTTGGTGTGGAAATTAAGGCATTGCAGTAGCTACAGAATGAGCACTGTCCTCGAGCTTTCATTAATAAAATTAAAAGTAGTTATAACTCACCAGCATTTAGTCCTATTGTTAACAGGCCTGCCGTAATCTGTGTACCAATGTCTGAAATATACTGACGGAAACTGGCTAAATATTTTAACGACCTAGGCCCTGGAACTTCTTCAAATGATAAAACCACTGGATCCTTAGGTAAAATCATTGGCATAATTCGTGGTGCAGGACAGATCTCCTTTATTGCTTCTTCGTTCAACGGAGTTACTTTAACATTAGATATTTCTTTATGAATACTCGTTTTAGACTCTGACGGCTTTGTTGATTGGTATCTCATATTTTCCCATATAAATCGTTTCTGGTTAAAAACATTTTTAAAGCAAATCTTACCGTATTTAATTTTATCAAACATAATCAATAGGTAAATTACAATTATAAGTGACAAAATACGACAAATAACTTTTCAATAATTTTTGAATTAATATTTGACGTATTAAATTTAACAAAAGAACAATTACTTCGTTTTTAAAATCCTTTTATTTTACATTTTGTGGCCCTTACTTAATTTTTCAAGATCGAACTAAAAAGTATTTAATGGGATAAATAATATTGATTTGATTCTTTTCACATTCTGATATTACGTCTGGTACGAAAAATACTCAAACAATCGTTAGCATCTCTTATACAGGTAATGATTGATTTACATCTTGAAATATTTTGTGGTAACCTCATAAAGTGTGTAAACACTAAAGTCCATGATTGTCAGAAATGACTATCGAAAACCAAAATTCTTTCATGGCAATTTGGCAATAAAGAGCGAGCGAGTTAGCTAATGTGGTAGATGGCGGGAGTGATCTCGTGTGATATAACTGTGTTAGCTTAGTTTTTAAATTTTTAGTGTAAAAATAGTTATTAAAATGACTAGGTAACGTATAATTTGCATTAGTGTAAGATATTGTAATATCAACAACCGCGCATGTCAGAACAAAGAGTTATCTTACCCGAGTGTGTGATATCGACATCACTCGAATATGTTCATAAAAGAACATCTTTGGTTTTCCAGAGCTAAAATAGAACTTGGCGACGTGACACCACACAATATCAAGCAACTAAAGAAGCTGAACACAGTCGTGTTTCCAGTATCCTACAATGACAAATTCTACAAAGATGTTTTAGAGGCAGGAGAGTTGGCGAAGCTAGCTTATTACAATGATATTGTCGTGGGAGCCGTCTGTTGTAGGATAGACACTACAGAGAACTCCAGGAGATTGTACATAATGACCCTGGGTTGTTTATATCCGTACAGAAGACTAGGCATAGGAACCTTGATGGTGGAACATGTGCTCAAATATGTTGAACAGGATGGAAACTTCGATAGCATTTTCTTGTAAGTACATACTGATTTTATTTAATTTACGAATAATCAGGTGTTTTTAACATAATTTTTCTAAAAACAATACAAGTGTAAGACAAATTTTTAATAAAGATCCACAAAACTAACCTATCAATGTCTCTGTCAAATATTGAATATAAAAAGGAGACAATTGTTAAATCAGCAATTCGCTATAAATGATATTATTTATTTATTTTTGATGTAGAAAAATGGTAAATAATTCTTTATTGATATGAAAATTTATAGATGAAAAAAATATGCCACTATATTATTTATAGCACAAACTAAAGGGTTGATAACACTCATTACATGTATGTGAACTTCACAAGTTTGAATGGTTTTAAGCAATAACAAAAATAAATGATAATACTTTACAAATACATATTACAAACGAATTTAATTTCTAAATGTAGAAAAAGATGTAATTTGCATTGTTTTGAATACATTTCCTACGGGTTAAAGTAAATTTTGGTCATTTAGCATGATTTGTTATAAAAAATAACCAAATAAAATTGTTTTACATTTGTGAGAAACAAGCAATACCATAGATAGTGGTGTGTATGGATTATCATCAAATTATATTTTAATGTATTCCAGACATGTTCAAGTAAATAATGAAGGGGCTATTGACTTCTATAAAAAGTTTGGCTTTGAAATTGTAGAAACGAAAGAGCATTACTACAAGAGAATAGAACCGGCAGATGCTCATGTGTTACAAAAAACGATCAGAGAACCGCAGACTACTCCACTAGTTAATGGATCTGTGCCTCATGCCAAGACTAACGGACTTGAAATTGATTGAATTACAAAACATCTATCCGAGTCCTACGCAGATCATGGTGAAAAAAAAGTGATAAAATATAAGTTATAAGGATTGTATACAAGTCAATGTTTATCTCAATTGAATGGAAATTCAGTTATCAGAAAAGAACAGGATAATCATAGGTTGTGGTTGTGGTATGATGCCATAGAGTTCACGGACTGAAACCTCATCAACTTCGACCAGCTTTGTAGATACAATGTGCTCATGTTGATGTATAAACTGTTGTAATGAAATTTTTAAGACATGCTTTGTATGGCATAATAATCTAGTAATACATTTAACTCTCTGAATTTTTAGTAACATATTTGTAAGAATTAGGATTTGGATAAATTTGAAATACCAAGAATATTTAGTTCTAGACATTTTTTTAACTACTGATTCGTGGCAGAATTAAATTTACAGTACATATTTAAATATGCATATTCAAGTACATGAACCCTTACGTATAATATACACATAACAATTTAAAAAGAAGGAAAAAATTTATAAACCATTAATTATAAAATATAATTTAGCCAAGAATATATTGAAATTTATTTGTTTTGTAACTCAACAAAAACCAGAGATGATATGCTGTGATACTTTTTTTTCAGCACTTAAATTATTTGTAAGGGCTGCATGTATTTGTTTATGTGAAAAAAAATATATGTTTTCCGGTCTAAATATGAGTCACCTCGCATTTAATTGGTATTCTATTTTTAGTGGTTATTGTAAACTGATCAAGTATCTATGACTTGTTTTTATTTTAAAACATTTGACTTGTTGTCTTCTAAATACAGTTTATATTAAGATTTTTATTCTTTTTATTTATGCGGCGAATATAAGAAAAAATATAAATTTATATAAAAAAACAACCAATTTTGTTAAATATCAAAACGACGCTATGTTTTCTGTACACATCGTGTGTGGCAACACTGGACATTGTTACCAAAAAGTCAATTTTCTCAAATCTGTAACAAATACTTTGTTAAATAACAACATATTTTCTTTCATCTTCTAGAATTAGTACAATAAACATGGATAACACTTTTTACGACTTTTCTTTAAATGAAACAGTATTCCATTCCCCTTTTTTTAATTTTATAAATTTAACCCACGAAAAATATATTAAAAACCGTACATTATGTAGGAGCAAGACTTGGCAGTAATAAATATATTTTGTGGAATCTCACTTCTTTTTGTAGGATATCCTGCTTTTTCGTCGATTACCTACTTCAAAATACACTGCCGCGCGCAAGCACAATTTGATAACTTAACTTTTTTGAAAAATATTGCTCTTTCCACCCCGGATACTTTTGTGTACATAATTTTTCCAGACAGTAACATGGAATAAAATAAAACATCATTTCAATTTTAATACATTTATTTTTAGAACATAAAATTATAACATCATTGAATGACTAGTAATGTTCTACAGTGGACTTAATAATACATTTTCTTAGTACATTTCTTTATAATTCCACATTTAAGGCCTGCATTCATTCCATAATGTTCATAAATATTTTTCAAACAGATATTTGCCAAACGACATAATATTCGAATTATTAAATTGTTCTAATCTATAAAAAATATTCAATTTTATACACAAAGAAAACGATTTACATAGTTACATACATATAGTTCTACATTCCTGCATTAAGAATACTGTTATGCTTTTACAAAGCATTGATCCTATCACAGACATTCAATATTGCGTTCACAAAACAAGCTTACAAAATAACAGTTATACAAAGGCTGTTTACTTCTCTAATAAATTATAAAATTTAAACTAAATTGTCAACAGTGCTCCCAAAGAATAACATTTACAATCAACAAAATATAAATTTAAACAAACCTTACTCACAGTAAATTTTTAAAAAATAATAGGTATATGTCCGAAAGAGTTGCAAAATTTGATAAAAAAAGGTTTTTCACAAAACATTTTAAATTCGATCATAGACAACAAATTAAATAACAATCCAATAAACCAAATTAAATGTAGTAAAAGCTTACTTAAATGCTCATTTTTAAACATTAGGAAAAAATGCATGCATGCATATCTGTACTTATTTATTTGTTTTATAATTGTAAAATTCAAATATCTTAGATGTCCAGTCTAATGTTAAAATCTTAATGCCAAGTTGTCAAAATAAAATTAACAAGTGTTGTTTGGTTATGTAAAAAATTATTTGTACGCATTTATTCGAGAATGTTCAGTGTTTTAAACATTGTTAGGCAAGTTATTTTAAATGAACTACAAGATTTGGACAAAAGTGTAATATTAAGTATTTATTTATGAATAATAGAATTTTATTACAAGAATGTTTTGTAACTCATTATAAAACTGTAAGTAGATATTATAAAAGTTCTATCTGAATTTATAAGGTACTTATTAGGCAAAATTCACTCTATGAAAATAGAAAAATGTAATTATAAATGCCTAAACTGGCCATCCTTAAAAATAAATGAATTTAAAAACATCAAAATTTTTGGTTAAACTCCATATTACTAATAAGTAAAAATACTGAGCTGAAGTGATTGACTTTGGTCATTGTAATTTTTTTTTAATAAAATTAGGCGTTATACAGGAAAAAATTTAAACAATCATAGAACGATAATTCTAGAATACATTTAATATGCAAAATAATTTAATTACTTTAATCTTTTTTAAAAATATTACAAGAACATAAACGAAAAAAAACAATACTTATAAAATTATTTCATTCTTTTTAATTATAAAATATAAATTAAAAATTGTACTTAAAGAATTATAAAAATAACTTTTAAAATATAAAATTCAACTAATTATACTCAAATTAATCCCCTTTAAAGAAGATAAAAGTGAACAAAAGGCCTGTTGTTTTTTCTTTCTACTAAGAATAATAAATCTTTCAAAAGGTTATTCAAAAAGAGATGTAGAATCAATAAATTATTTCACAATTACAATTTAAATAAATAGAAATTCGGTTTTAAATTTAATAGAAAAATTGGCAAACACATTTCAGTAAGAACATATTGTTCCTTAATCAATAAATTTTAAAATAGACAACCAGTTCTGGTATGATGTTAAAATACAATTAAAAAATCACACAGATTTTCCAGCAAACTTTAAACACAAGTAATTTCATATAAATCTGTATTCGCCTACCTTTATTCATATCCATTAAATATTCTGGTCCGTGCATTAACTCATGTTAAAAATTAAACCAAAATATCCACAATTCTACTAAATTGTCATTATTTACAAGAAATTTCGGGTGTTTCCCGTTGGGCCGATCGATCGCAATTGAAAATTTTTCTATTGGATCGATTGATTGTATTGATTCGATCGGCTCAATGGGAAAAATTTCCCATTGGGTCTATCGATTGGGGGGCGATAAGCCTAACGGGAAACATCTTTAATGTCTTCTAAGTCCATATAATTGATATAAGCTTTGAAGATAGATTTTAAGATCTGCCGGATGGTAACATAATACTGAGTAACATAGACATTTTATTTGAATTTAAAAACCAGGCTTTTTACAATTTTAATTTTCAAATCTAGTCGGACTAAGACGGATTTGATCAATTATGGTATTTTTTTTAATTTACTTTTATTTACATTTGCTTTATTCAATTTAAATTTAAAGTTTCCTACTTGTATTGTACCTACGTTGGCTTTTTTAAAATATTTCTAATATAATATCTTTGATGTTGCGTCCATAGAGTATAATTTTTTTTTATTGAATTAAGGCAAACATTTTTTATTCCTACAGCCACATTACCATTTCATTATAAGAGATTATGGTATAATATTTATAGAGGCATTTAATTTAAGGACGAAGAATTTTTAAACACTGGAGATACTATAGACACTACAGTAAAAGTTTCTCTGTGGTTATAATCATAGAGAAACATTTCTTTACTCTCAAGATGTCTATGGCTATATTCATAGAGTGTGGATATTTTAAAAGTTGATTAGGCACAGGCACAGCACAAAGCCTTATGCCTGGTTCACACATGGCAAGTATATCTACAGTAGCGCAGATTAACTCACATTATTCCAGTCCAGTTACTGGGTCTACTGTACAACTGTACTGGCCATTTGTATACCAGGCATTATGGATGGCAGCACAGAAATATTCATAAGTCTTCCTGTCCGGTAGATGAGCCAGCTTCATTTTCCAAATCAAGTAATTGCTTTATACGTTCCACGCACAGTTTGGAACCTTCATTCGCTTCTTTGGCCATCTATAAGTAATATTAAGAGGGAAGATTTGTATTTTTTACGTATTGAAATAACTTAAAAATTCTGGACCGATTTAAAAACTCGTGGACCATTAAAAAGCTGTTATCACTGAGTAACAAAGGCTATATTTTTTTTTTCATGCAAACGATGTCGCGAGCAACATCTAGTTAATAATAAGAAAGTAGGCTTTAATTTACTTCTTAATTCACCTACTAAAGAACTATTTCTTTGGCATGTTCGTAATATTTTTTTCTTACTAGTTTAAATGAATGTTTGTAAGAGTTTGTGGCCTAAACTTCTGAACGGATCTCAATTAAATTCGGCATAGATGTAGAGGATAGTCTGGAAGAACACATAGACTACTTACCGTTTTTTTAATTTCACGTGGTTGAAAGCTAATAGGTTATAATTTTTTTTTTTTGTTTAATTCACAGCTTCAGTTCACAGACATTTAATTAACTCACCAGTGAGAAATTAAGGAACCCGTGAGGTAGACCTTCAAGCACATCAATGCCAACTTCATTGCCAAGATCTTTTAGTTTCTTCGCGAACATCACACAGTCGTCTAAACATGGGTCCAAGTGTACCGTCTGTAAAATATTAAAAAGAAAATTAAAAGTCAAATAATAATAATAAGCACAAAAAAAACAATACCCGAAGTGCAAGCGTAATTAAAAAAAAACTTTTTCCTTATTATTCTAACCAGTTACTAGTACAGTACAGTACTAGTTATTTTACATGAGAAATGAGTTTAAATAGGGTTTAGCAACACTAACCCCGGGGTTATTTGGCCAGTGCACGCCGCAAAACATACATTTCTTTATTTATTTATTTAAACTTTTTACACAAAAGAAAACAATTTTATAAATACAAAAGTACAGATGAGCATTTTAACTTTTCTTATTATGCTTTGAAACTTGTTATTAATTATCTTGTCTTAAAAATATATTAAACCTCACGGATGTCCACGTTTTAATGTATTTTGTAGATTATAGCGAAGTTTTATCTTCTAAGACATATTGAAATGGGTACAACAGCCAGTAGTGTATGAGGCAGCGTGTACCAGTATGCGCAGCGGCGGGAAGCCGCGCAGCAGACGCGGCTCGGCCCAGTAGGGGGAGAGCAGCGGGTCGCGCGGCACTGAGAATATGAACTCGTCGGAGGGGCTGCGCGCGATCAGCGCGTCCAGGTTCGTGCGCACCGACAACCTGCACGTTACATACTACATACTGTACACATTCACTACACAATACAGAAACATACTTTTTAATTCATATTAGGTGTCGCCGACGACCTCGTTCATGTAAAATTAAAAAATATATACATATATAGAAGTAGCCCATATGTTTTTCCAGACAGAGATCCGTTGTTCGTCTAATTTTTAGCATTAGTATGAAAGAAAAATAAATTATTTAAAAAAATAGGTTTATTGGGATTCTGGGAGAACATTCTTGACTTGAATGTTTATATGATGACTATCTTCTACATCCATGTCAAATTTCATCGAGATCCGTTCAGTAGTTTAGGCTACAAACTCTAACAAAAATTCATCCATCCATCCATTTAATCGCCAATAGCCTAACGGTTTGGGGTAGGGACAACCGATCTTGAGGTCGAGGGTTCGAATCCTGCCATTCGAATATTGACGTGAACCATATTCTAGCACAAGCCTAGAGCTTAGTTGGAATGATTAAAGGAAATATTAGTAAATTAACAAAAATCTATAAATATTCTTAATTAAAAAAAAAGTTTTCTCATTTATAACATTAACAAGATATAATAACTCACTCCTCTTGCGTAGGCCTGCTGATAGAATTAGAGCCGGTGATGTAGGCGAGTCGCGACGACATGGCTCCCATTATACCGGTCGCCGCTTCACTTATCCTGAAAACAAATTTATTTTGATACAATCATTTGCCTATACGTCAGTATAGTAATGCAAGTATTTTCTTTCATAAGAAATATTAATATGAATTTGCTATCAATTCGTTTAAATAATTAACTTCTATACGTATTGGAATGTAAAATGCTAAAATATTAACCTTGTTTTAATTCTTTTCTTACTGTCTTTGGGGTCCTGTTCGTCTACTAAGGGGGGTTCTCCGACTAGCGTATTAGAAGCTTCCGATTCCAATTCCCTGTAAAATATAAAAACATCGCACAATGATATGGATTTAAAAGTTTTTAATTATAACCGTGAAATAACACTATCGGAACATTGAACAAATGTTTACCTAATTTTCAAATAGAGAAAAGAAATAGTAATATTCCACACAAGTTTTTAAAAGTAGAAATCTGACTAATATTGTAAATGTAAAAGTAGATGAATTTGACATAGATGTAGAGGAAAATCTAAAAGAATACATTGGGCTACTTATTTCGTTTTTGTTTTGATAGATAGATTAGTAAAAAATAAAATAAACATATTGAAAGAAAAAAGTAGAAATCGGTAATAAATAATTAAGATACCTCTGTGAGTCTTCACGTCGTGTATTAGGTTTGATGACGGGAAACCTCCTGCCCTCGGAGTCGGTGTCGCTGTCCAGCACGTAGCGCTCCAGGAACTCCGACACGAACTGCTGGGACTTGTCCTCCGTCGGAGTTAAACCTGATCAATACAGTTTGATAAAAGTTAAAAATATTACTTTTTACACCTCTTTGTAAAATTTAATTTTTTATATAATAAAAAAAATGTATGAAATGTATTTGTAAAATTATATTTGAATTGTAATATTATATGTTTGTATAAATAAAAAAAAATAAATAATGCTTTGTAAGTTACCAAGATTGTCGCTCTTGATTATTTCAATTCGTTCTTATGACATGAAAAACATAGGAAAGGCGAAAAGTTTTTTTTGTTTTATTCTACAGGCATAGCTCAGTTTTTGCAAAAACTTGTAAGGAAAAAGTTGGTGTAAAAAAAAAAAGTTACAGCTGCTCAAAGTTTGTACAAGGAGGCTTGTTCCGTTTACCTAACTTTACCTAATAAGTTAGCAACAAGAGATTTTTTCCGTTTTCTTAACCGGTAGGGTGCGTGTACTTTTTAATTTTCCGGGCCATCTATTACTATGATTAAGTGTGGTGTCTGCCAGAGTAAAATTGGCCGATGTGGTCTCAAAGTAGTATTTGCGGTTTGGTATCCGGACACTTGTAAAAGTAAAATTTCAATTAGATCGATATTAAACTGCGCTATTTAGTCTTGGAATCGATAGCTGATCATTTTAACATGGGATTGATGGCGTGAAAATAGCAAAGTATACCCTAGTACAAAAACTTCATCGCTTACGAAAACGGAAAAAAATCTTGTTACCGAACTGTTTTTTTTTAAATAATTTTCTTTATTTTCTGCTGCTGTTCTTGCAGCAACTTTGTTGCATTTGTTGTTACATCTTTTTTTTTAATTCTCTACCTTGTTTTACCTAACCGGTTAGGTAAAGTTAGGTAAAAGGAACATCAGTACAAGGAAGGGTGAGCAGAGACCGGCGGTGTGCTCGCTCTGCAGCGAGGCGGCGCTGGCGGTGGTGTCGGCGGAGCGGCGGCGCTCGCTGCCGGCCGACTTGTGCGCCTGCAGCTCCGCCAGGTCCGACGGCGACACCTCCTCCAGCGACGACGGACCCTCGCTCACACCCTCTGACAACACACCACCTAGCATCATCACCAGCTCACAACGTCCCCACCTATAGGCTCGAAGCCTACCCTAAATTAGGTAGACTAGGCTATAGTCAACCACGCTGCACTGAGGGTTGGTGGACTTAACACATATCTTTGAATTTCTTCGCAGATATGTGCAGGCATCACGATGTTTTCCTTCACCGTAGGGACGTTTTGTAAATTATGTACATATGAAAATCACAGTGGCACATGGCGGGATTCGAACCCAAGACCTGTAGATTACAAGTCAAGTGCTTAAACCACTGAGCCGCCGACGCTCCCACGTACTATACACCTCAACTAACACTCTATATAACACGGGAAAGATTGAACGCTATCAATGAGGCTGGCCAACGCAATATCGCGCTTTTTACATGAAAATGGGAAACAAATGAAGAGGAAATTGTATAAAATTTTTATAAAAAATCAACACTGTTTTATTTATTATTAGCTTTCGCCCGCGACTATGTCCGCGTGGAATTAAAAAAAAAAAGTATGTGTCGTTCCAGACTATCCTCTACATCTATGCCAATCATCCATCCATATAAACTTTCGCATTTATAATATAAGTAAGATACTATGGATATTTTGTAAAGGGATGTGTTGAACCTTACCTTGTGACGGACTGACTTTGAGAAAACCATTGCTGTCTAAGGGAGTTGTAGCGTTTGAGACCGTAGTTTCTTTATTACCCCGACTATCAGGTTTACCTCTTCCTGTCGCATTCGGACTTGCGTATGCTGAAATAAAAACAATACATTTAACCTGAATTCGTTAAATCAAATTAATTAAATAAAAAATATTTAATTTGTAGTTTTCATGGTAAAAATGTCATAATGTAGAAATAGTAATAATTTATTAAAAAAAAAAATTGCATTTATACTAATTTAAAACTACAGTTTGTACTTTTAATACTAAGCCATAGTCATTAACTACATTTGTAATTAATAGTTTATATAATTAGAACTTTAACCGAATTTATAAGACCGAGGTATCAATGTTAAGTTTCATCATCATCATCATCATCACCAGCTCACTATACGTCCCCACTGAGGGGCTCGGAGCCTACCCTAAGTAAGGTGACTAGGCCATAGCCATATATATCCATTATTCTTACCTTTAAGACACCTCATCATGAATCCAAACGGCAGCAAGGGGTCCATCAGGCACAGTAATCTCGCGGGGCTTGGTATGAAACTAACAAGAAGCGGTGCATAGGCCATAAACAGACCATCCGGAGGTCTGAGTCCCGCTGAGAGGATCTTAAGAGTGCAACCCGCTATTAAATTCGCACCTGCGGAATCTCCAGCGAATACTATGCGTTTGCCTAAAAAGGAAAAAACACTACAATTAATAAAAACCAAAATTTGTCGATTTATATTCACTCTGGCACTCAATGTATATTGAATTTATAAATGGCTGGAAGATCAAAGGTCCTAGCACGAATGTTTACGAGAAAGTATTCGTAATGATACCGAAAAAAAATTAGCAAAAATTGTAAATGTTCTTTACGACTGGTCGAGGCTCTCCTGCAAACATCTAATATAACACACATTTTATGGATGACGTGAACGTGATGACTTGAAAATTTTCGTGTTAACCACAACTACAAAGTTAACCAAAATGAACACAAACATATTATCGACTGTATTTCACAACGTGTAAAGATTGAAAACCTCTAACAGCCGAATACTGAAATTTTTTCGGAGTATTTACATATTTTATACATTATTTTAAACGATAAGGTCACGTTTAAACTACAAATTCTATTAAAAAGACGAATATCGAATTGTAAGCGTTGTTTACCAAGCGAAGTGTTTAAGGTTATTTCCAAGATTGACTGTTAGACCTGCTTTACACATCCAACATACCTGTAGTACCGATATCTTTGAAGTGGTTGAGCATCCAGCAGTAGGCGTAGAAGACCTCGTCGAGCGCGCGCGGGAAGGGCGCCTGCGGCGCGAGGCTGTAGTCCACGGAGAGTATGGGCACGTCCAGCTTGGCGGCCCACTCGCGCAGGTACGCCTCGTGCGACTTCGAGCTCTGCGCCACGAACCCGC